AAACAGTAATACGTTCATATATATGTGATATATTATGGTTAATCAGGCATAATAGATCCTTTTAGACTTGGTTGAAGGCCTAGTATGGTCTAATGAGACAATAGGATCGATTTGAGTGCTTGTGTGGGCAAAATTTTCAGAAAAAGTGATTTTTTGCATCTAAATGTCTAAATTTTGATCAGACCATTAGATCATATTCAACTTATTTTATTAGTTATCTTACAAGTTAAGCTTTGTGTGGGTACTTGATTCACTGCAATCAAACACTATATGTGGAAATAGGCACGCCGAAAGCTCACGCTGTGAACTAGTTTTTGACAGCAGTATTTTCTATCATGTGCACCGCGGCGCATAGCGTATCATGTCGTAACTCATGGTATGGAGAAGTTAGGGTGTGTGGCTCGATGCCACATGCCACGATGTATATGTTGTCTGCCACAGCGCATGGCCTTTATTCTAACCTGTTTTCTTCATTTTAATGGGATATAATGTTCTATATGAATGCATATAGTTTGTTTCCACTGCATATTGCTCAAATGTGTTATGATTTTCCAAAAGAAGTCTTAGGCCCAAGCTTTTCAAACATATTGATTGATTATGATTTGATTTCATGTGAATGATGATTAAGTTAATTCTTTCCTATATCTGGCGGATGTAGGGGAGGATTACAATCATTTCAGAGATAGTAGTCACAACTAGGATCACACATTTTTGGGGTGCAATCCTAGATAAAATGACCATTCATGTGTGAGACATCGATAGGCTTAGCTTCTATAGTAAACCATTCAATAGGAGGATCCCTTTTTTTTTTCAAACAAAGGCTAGGGAGATATACAATATTCTTCCAGAAATCTAATTTAGATTTTGAGTTTCAAGTTTCTTGAAAAAATTTTACAATACCATCCTGTAACCTATAAAGTGCAAGAGGTTTTGTAGTATGGATGTTTTTTTAGATACCATAGAACTGCCTTTCATAGTTGTTAATCCCTTTTAGTGGCATCATATCAACTAATTGTTTAGTAGGCAACTATCTTAGGATTCGGAGGTTTGACACACTTCTAGATTATTTGCAACCATATATAGAGCATCTCCAATATTGTTTGGAAAATTGACATCAAATGAATGATCTTGAAACTTGAAAATTATTTGGTGATGTAGGGTAGCCATAATAGCATTAGACTATTGTTCAGCTCCATAAATTTGGATCTAAACCTTGAACCTAGTAGAAAGGGTCGGGTCTGTGAGCTTGACATTAAAGTCAGGTGCTATGGTAAGAACCACACTTCCTTAGTTAAGAGGAGTCAATATAGCACCAATTAAGGCATTGCCATATAATTTGAAGGTATTATCTAATAAAGCAACTTTGACAATGTCTGTTATAGCTTTACTCCCAGTTAAATGACAAATAATAGATATTATTGATGATAAGTGAGTAAGGACAACTCTAGAAAATATAAGTGGATTTCCAAAAAGCTCTTCCTCAAAAACTCCTATTGCTACTTCCCTTAAACCAGTTCATCTTTCTTCAGTCTTTTCCTTTGACAGAATCCCTTCTTCTGTAAAAAGAATTCTTTCTTAGAAAATAGAAAATCTCATAGAGATTCTATTGCTCTTGAGAATGCTCGCGTCCTAGCTACTCAACTTTCTTTCCTTAATCCTAATAATCTAACATTGAGAAAACCCTTTCACTTATGGAATCAGATCCCTAATCTACACAAACCATCCTTAGCCAAAAGAGATAATCCAAACTTCTAGTGTAGATCAGTATGCTATCCTTGCCACAACTGCTGAACAATATATCACTCTTGAAATAGCCCAACCTTTGATTGATGGCCAGATTAACCAAGATTATAGCCACCTTCATGTTAGAGCTATTTGTCTTATATTAACCTTTCATGGCAACAAAGCTATAGTAGCCATTGTTAGAGTTGCTTTATTAGATACTACCTTTATGTCATATGGAAACACCTTAATTGACGCCATGTTAACTACTCTGAACTAAGGAAGTATGGTTCATACTGCAGCACTTGACTTTAATGTCAAGTTCACATATTTGATCCTTTCTACCATGTTCAAGGTTTAGATCTAAATTCTGGAGTTGAACAATAGTTTGATGCTATTATGCTCTGCACTTGACTCTCTGAGAAACTTGTACATCAAAAAGAATTCGAATGATGATTCATATGTATGAAACTCATATCACTAGCTTAGAGATCTGTGAGTAGTGGTGCTAAGGTGTTGAGGATCCTAAAGCAGCCTAAGTTTGCCCAGAAAATGTGTTGAAGGGCCTTGTCTAGATCAATACACCTTGTAGCACTAAGACATAAGGAACTTTGGGACTATGCGCACATGAGTCTCAGCCTTGTTTATTTATTTTAAACTTATAGCTCTAATCATTTAAGGACAAGATAATCCTATAAGAACAAAATATAATTATGGAATTGACTATATGTTATGATAAAGAAAAATTATTAGATAAAATTTGTTACATAGATTAAAAAGAGAAAAATCTTACATGGAAAATTTAAAAAATAGAAAGTGCATGAAGTTAGAAAAGAAGAGTAACAAAAACATGTAATTATTACTTTCATTATATTTGTTGTTTTTATCTAAATGCCAACTATGACTTGTGACAATTTATATAACACCTTATACTTGACACATTTGCTTTTCATTTAATATATGTTTCCCCCTAAATTCAATGTAATCACATTCAATGATTGAATTAGTTTAATTTTTTATAACTAACAAATTAGTTATGAGTCGAATATAAGGAAAAAAACATGTCTTTGTAGGAATTATTCGCATCAATGGAATTGATTCAAACATTTCATGAAGCTAAGTATCTTATGAGTAAGCCTTTGAAGCTACAACATATCAAACATATGACACTTCAAGGTTGTTCAAAATTAAAGTTATTGTTTAGTATATCCATTGCAACAAAATTAAAGTTTACATTGATCTTCCTACACTAGAAACACTATCCTTCAAGAGGTACCAAATATTATCAACATTCATATCAAGAAGTATCATCCAAAATGCCCATCTCTACATACTGTGGAAGCACTAAAGGTAATTATTATTTTTTAACTTATTGCTTTATATCAAGTTTATCATGCTATATTTTTTTGCCCAAAATATATTGATATGCATAATTACTCTACTCAAATCATCACATGCTCATTATTAATCTTCTCAATCCATGCTCATGATATCACATAACACATGACATACTCATTATAACCTCATTCCAACATGTTCAAGAATTACAACTCATGGCATTAACTCAACTATACAAGTGAACCTGCTTAATTCATTGCCACATAATTCATGCCACAAACATATCAACTCATAAATTGCAAACACTATTATATATTAAAATTAAACTTCTAGTTACCTCAACTCTTAAGTTTACCACCCCCAAGAGCATAATTTGAATTTCAACGAAGCTTCCTAACAAGCTTCAAAAGTAGTCAATTTATAGAGATTGGATTAGCAAATACCATTAATTTTTTATATAGTGATTCTTTCTAAATAATAGCTATATAGTTAGTGACTCTATAGTGGTTATTTAAAAAAAAACTATTATATAATTTGCTAACTCAAAAAAATTTAAAATGTACACAATTTATATAACAAACAAATTGATGATGTCATTATCTGTAAACCAATGATTTCTTTTTTAATCCAATGGCACACATACCCTTTCTCTCTCTCTCTCTCTCTCTCATTGTCATTGCTCACATTCAAACCTATACCCCACACTTCACCTTTATGACACTCAACCCTCTCCCTCCTCTCCCTCTCACACAATTTCATTTCCCTAATACTCTATACTTAACACTATCTTTTACTCAAGCATTTCTCTCACTTCAACACTCACATGATCAACTCCAACCATGGTCTTCGGCGTGATGTGCATCCCTCCTTCTTCATTCTGTGCATGCACTGCTCCATACACCATCATTTAGTTTGTGTGGTACCCCATCGTATTGTCGCCACTCTCCCTCAACTCTATCTCATCATCATCCCTAGTTATATTGTTAAATGGAAGGCTAATATTTCAGATTTGCAACCATGATTAGTATTTTTTTTTTGTTTTATATCTGTGGTTTTTTTTATCTATGTGATACTGGTTCGACTTCATCTCCTTCATGAGGATTCTTCTTTGATTTTTCCAGATCTATTATTTTTGTCTTTTATTTTGCATTTAAATTGTTAATTTCATATGAAGTTTCATTCTTATTTTTTTTCCTGACTTACTTTTGCCTAGCGTTCTCAATTGGACTTACATGTTGCATTCTAGATCTAGGTTTTTCCTTGCTTATTTATTGTTTGATTTATTTTTTCTTATTCTAAATCTTCATTCAATTTGGATTCTGATTTCTTCTTGTTCGATGGCCTTTTCATTTCTAATTCTATTTGGATACTTATTTAAAAGATGAAACTTGTTCTCTAAATAATGATATAATGTTTTCGAGTTCCACGGCACGAAGATTTATTGTTTGTTACAATAGCAATTAATTAAGGTTGCTGGGGTTTTGTTTGCTTTGCTATGTTTTCATTTCTAGTAATGAAGGTTGCGATGAAGAAGGAGGAGGAGGAGGAGGAGGTGGGGAAGAGGAGCTTGCGATGAAGAAGATTGCATGGATCTATTTTTCTTTTCTTTTTTAAATTTTTAACATGTGGCACATGGCTACCAGCACTACACATAATAGTCAAATAATGGTCAATATGGTCAAACATTGATGACAAGACAAAATTATATTAAACTGAAAAACGTTCGGACGACATTATTACGTTAAAAATAAAAATAAAAACTTGACGGATATGGCGTGCGAAGTTGCCAATTGCACGCTCACTCCCACGTTTTTCACGTTCCATATGACAACAATCCTAAGAACAGCTCTATGCCACGTATTCACATTTGATTGATCAGGGGACCTTGTGGTGAAGCCTAAACAATTGCCTCCCTAATCCTTCTTACGCTTTCTTTCTCATTCATGTTTCGTTACTTTCTTCGCTTTCTTCTACTCCATCACTGTTATTATCACTTTCAATTTCTTCTTCCATCATTTTAATCTCTCTCATATCTGAGCTCCATTTTCTCGTCATTCAGCCATGACTAAAAAGGTACATATAATTCCTTTTGATCTCCTTCCTAAATCCTCATCTTGATGATCTCTTCCGTTTAATCATACAAGTGAATCATATCGATCATATCGATACTGATTCTGTTCCTTACTTCTGGTAATTATATGTTTAGGTGACAACAATGATACTCGAGGTTGATCTCCAGTGTGTGAAATGCTACAAGAAGGTCAAGAATGTTCTCTGTAAATTCCCACGTAAGTTTCTCTCAATACTCACAGTTCTCTCTCTCTTTCTCACTCTCTTCTTTTTCTTCATTGTTCACTTTTGAAATTCGCATGCGTATTATTCTTCGGAATCACAGAATTGAGTTCATCTTGTGCATTTGTGTGGTTTTGGATGTTTGTGAACAAGAGAAATTCAAGACCAGAAATTCGATGAGAAGAAGAACACTGTGACGATTAAAGTGGTGAGCTGTAGCCCAGAGAAGATTATGGATCAGCTTTGCCGTAAAGGTTGTGGCGCCATTAAGAAAATCATAGTTCCGCCACCTCCGCCTCCGCCGCCGCCGTGTTGTGTTTTGGTGCTGTGAATGCTGGCATGATTGGCCATGCTTTGTGCCTGAGTCCCGAGTTCCATTTACAACGTGTTGTGTTCTGTGCTCTGAAGGCCGGCCTGGTGGGCCATGCTATGTTAGGCCTCCACCATGTTATGGAGGGTATTTTTATGCTAGACCTGTTTATGATAGCTATGGTGTTGCAGGGTGCACAATAATGTGAGCTAAAGTCTCATTATTGATGTGGCCTTGTTGTATGGTGAATAATGAATAATGATATATTGCTGTATAGAGTTATATATGTGTGTGTTTTCTTTGTTTAATCAAATTTATGAGTTCTTGTACGGGATCCTCGTATGAGTCTAATCAAATTTATGTTATTTGCTTTTGTAATAATAAAAATAATTGTTAACAATGGTTTATATATGAGAGGGAAAATGCAGGTCATAAAAATAGGGTTAATTAGAGTTCTTTATATATGTTTCATATTTTTCTGAATAAATAAAGCATTTTGAGGTGATTTCATTTGCATGTGCATGCAGTTTGTAGAAGGAGGTAAAAGATATGAAGAATATTGACAATGATAAAAAAAAAAAAAGATACGAAGAATATAATTAATGGTATATTGTCCATTTGTATTCTTATAATCGATGGTTATATATATATATATATATATATATAATTGATGAATTGAAGCAAAAAGGGAAAAGAATTATCAAGGGTCACTTTATCTCAATTGAAGTGAATTATTACTATTCTTGTAATTTATATTTTTTATAATTTGTTGTCCATAATAAAAATTTAGTAGAATATTTTATTTCAAATTTGTATATTCACCACTAATTTTTATCATAGATTCTACATGATCTTTGAAGATATAAAAATCTTCATATTTTTTTACACATTATCTAAATTTTTAACTTGTATAAATGTCGGTCTCACACCCACATTTTTTAATGATAGACTCATCTACTTTTTTATTGAGTCCTCCAACTATACTATTTATTTTCTTTATCAAAATCATCCATTAATTAATTTTAAAAAATTATTTTTTTAAAATAATTACTAATTTAATTTTATTAATTAAATTATTGGTCTGTCGCCCACTTTTTTATCATTAAAAATTTATTTACATATCTAACACCTATTATTTTTATCATGATCTTTTAAAATATAAAATATTATTATATCTTACATCTTGTCTAAATTTTTAAAATTTAAAATTATATGCCCCCACTCACATTTTTTAGCTATAGGTCTACACACCACTTCTTTAAACCACATTACTTCAATTTTTAAGAAAATCAAGTTTATTAAAATATCACATTCTCTCCATTCTCATTAAATCATAAATTCATACCAATTTTAAAATATATAAACATATAAAAGAATCTATAGCCGGGTCCATCTCTTGCATGTCTAGCTTTTAAATTTATTTAGGTTGGTTTAACTACCTCAAATTTTTAAAAATTATTTTATTTTATTTTTCTCTTTATTGAGTCTAGAAACTATATTTTTAAATTTTTTTGGCAAATTTATATATTTAACATTTTAAAAAACTTACAAAATTTATTTTTTGATAATTTAAATGATTTTTAGATAATATTTATACTTAAATATGAGCATTTTAGTTCAACACATATGACTTAATGGTCAACTAATAGTTAGGTAGATAAAAATAAAATCTTAAAAACTAATAACAAATTTTAAAAATTTTATATTCACCACTAATTTTTATCATGGATTCTACATGATCTTTCAAGATATAAAAATCTTCATATTTTTTTACACATTCTCTAAATTTTTAACTTTTTTATAAATGTTAGTCTCACACCCACATTTTTTAATCATACATTATACATCTACTTTTTTATTTAGCCCTGCAAATATACTATTTATTTTCTTTAACAAAATCATCCATTAACTAATTTTTAAAAATTATTTTTTAAAATAATTACTAATTTAAATTTATTAATTAAATTATAGGTCTGTCGCCCACTTTTTTTATCATTAGAAATTTCTTTACATATTTAACACCTATTATTTTTACCATAATCTTTCAAAATATAAAAATATTATTACATCTTACACCATGTCTAAATTTTTAAAATTTAAAATTATATGCCTCCACTCACATTTTTTAGCTGTAGGTCTACAAACTACTTCTTTAAACCACACAACTTTAATTTTAAAGAAAATCAAGTTTATTAAAGTCTCACATTCTCTCTATTCTCATTAAATCCTCAATTCATACTGATTTTAGAATATATAAATATATAATGCCCTTGCACGTGTAGCTTTTAAATTTATTTAGGTTGGTTTAACTATCCCAAATTTTTAAAAAATATTTTATTTTATTTTTCTCTTTATTGAGTCCAAAAACTGTTTTTTTGAATTTTTTGGCCAATTTATATATTTAACATTTTAAAAAAGTTACAAAATTAATTTTTTGATAATTTAAATGATTTTTAGATAATATTTATATTTAAATATGAGCATTTTAGTTTAACACATATGATTTAATGGTCAACTAATGGTTAGGTGAATGAAAATAAAATTTTAAAAATAGAAAGAAGGCTTGTATTTTATAACAATCTATATTAGAAAAAAAAATATTCATATAGGTTTTGAAAAATAGAAGGCATGTATCATTAATTAAGATAAAACAAAGAGAATATCAAAATATTTTACTCATTTTTAATTATAAATTTCATATTAACAATTTAATTTTTTTGTAGGTCCCACATATAAAAAAACTTATAGTTGAGCTTGACTCTTGACACCTCTATCTTTAGAATTTATTTAGGCTAGCTTAACTACTTTAAATTATTTTATTTTATTTTTTTCTTGAGTTCATAAACTGCACCTTTGAATATATTTTTTTGACCCCTTTATATCTTTAATTTTTAAAATGTTACAAAATGAATACAATTAGATAATAAAAAATTATTTTTTGGTAATTTAAATGATTTTAGAAAATATTTATATTTAAATAGGTGTATTTTAGTTCAATACATGTGACTTAATAGTCAACTAATGATTAGATGAATTAAAAATAAAATTTTAAAAATAAAAGTGAGGTTTGTATTTTATAACTATTCATACTAAAAAAATATTCATATACATTGCAAAAATTATAAGAAAAGTATCATTAATTAAGATAAAAATAAATAACATATTTTACTTATTTTTAATTATATATCTGATATGTATTTCTTTTACCACATGACCCACTTTATTCTTTTCCTCTTTTATTTATTATAAAACTTTAAAAAAGTAACAAATAAAATTTTCTTAAAAAAAGTTGGATGAGTACCCATCCATAACAAATTTTAAAAAGGTCATGGATGGGTACCGATACATAGTACCTATCCATAACAATAACAAATTAAAAAAAAAAAAAAAAGTGGGGTGGGTGGTGTAGTGGGTGCTGTAGATCTACACCACCCACCCGACGGTATTTACAACATATTATATAAAATATTATAGATATAGATACATTGAATGATTGAGAAAAAATGACAACAAATTTAAAGGGAAAAAAAAGTTGGGTGGGTACTATAGATCTACAGTACCCACCCGACAGTATTTACAAAATATTATAAATATTTTTTAAAAATTTTAAAAATAATATGATGTCATCTCTATTATTAATGAAAGTTAATTTTAATTTTTTAAAATTATAAAAAAAAATAAAAATTATTTTTAAAAAACACAAATTATATATATTTGTACTACATATTACAAGAACAAACATATAACATTTTTTTTACCGTTATATATATTAGAGGTATATATAGTGGACACTTCAAAGGAAACGCTCTATAGTTTAATTTGAAGACTAAACTTATATCAATTATTTTAAAATAAATGCTATCTACTTTATATTATATAATAGATATTCAAGATAATTGCTATATAATTCCAACTATATAGCTGTTATTTCTGAATAATCACTATATATTTGAGTCTTTTGTTTTTTTTAACGGGGCTATATTTCCAGCAGCCCATACATTATATAACACAGAAACAAATTCCAGCAACAAATTAGTGTGAAATAGAATTCTCAAAGCTGGTATACATCAAATCAATTTCAAAATCCAACATTATTTCTCAATAACAATATAGATAATCATTACTACAAAAGCTATCTACAAGTTCAAATAATCCAAATCTACCAAAAAAGTAACTGCAAAGAAATATGAACTGTGACAATAGCCTATCAATAAATATACAAGAAATACTGTAACAAAGGCTTGTCAATCAATATCTACTATAATAATATAATGACATAGTTAGCACATTGTTAACCTTGCTTTTTTTTTTTTTCTATACTTGCCTGCCTATGGAATCAGCAGCAGTTTGAAAGGTTGACCTATTCAGGAATCTCTAGTTCTACGCTTATTTTCAACTATCTGAAGCATTTTGCTTGATCTATAGCTTTCTTCTTTGTAGACCATATTGCCTTTTCCTCCTCCATTTACAAAAAAGAGTGTAAGCTGCTTGAAGATTAAGGAAATGAAGCAATAAATCAAACTTTACTTAGATATAAAGAAAAAGCTACCTAGGGAAACACTGCCAAAAAATAATAGATTAGCGACAGAATAAATTTTCATCACTAATCCTGTCGCTAATTTAGTGACCGAATTTAGCCACAGAATGTTTTATCGCTGAAATTTTATCATTATTCCATCGCGAATCTGTCAGAAATAATTTACCGACGGAAAATTCAATCGCTAATGGTCAAGATATCTTATTTCAATTTAGTGATGGAATTTGTGATGAAAATTTCCGTCACAAAGCTTTCTATCATAATTCCATCGCTAATTCCATCATAAATTATTTTAAATTTAATTTTATTATTTATAATATATATTTATATATAATTTATTTAATAATTTATTATTATGCTATAAATAAATAATTTAAAAATTATAATTTAAAATAATTTATTATTTTAAATTATTTGTATATTATTAATGGTAATTTAAATTGTATACTTAATTATTCTTATTTAAAAATAAAAATAAAATAAAATTTTAAAATATTATATATTACATAAATACAAATTTTAATATAATATATAATGATAATAAAATATTTTTCAATTGAATATTAAATTTATTATCAAAAATATTTTTAAATAAAATATAATAGAAATAATTATTATATATAAATTATTTTTTTCCATATTAATAAATAAATATAATGTTAAAAAATAAGTAAATTTAAATACTATATTTAATAATAATTTAAATAATATATTTATTAATATATGTGTGTATGGTTAAGTATTATCTATTTAATTTATCAATTAAGATTGAAGATTTCTTTTTGCTCAACTGGCAATAAGGTGGATGTAAAGGCACATGGGAGTAAGAGGTTGCAAGTTTGAAGTTAAACTAGGCACAATTAAAGGTAATAATATTTGATATGGTAGTGACACGGTGGTAAGGTGACACTGGTCTGCTTGGTGACTAGGAGATGGCAGTGACATGACAGTGAGGTGGCACTAGTCCATTAAGTGACTAAATGGCGGTGAGGTGGCATTTGTGCATCGGGTGACGTGCCAATGATATTTTAGTCTATTTAATAAATTAACCACAAATTAACAATACTTGGTGACTAGGACATGGCGGTGACATGACAGTGAGATGGCACTAGTCCACTGAGTGACTAGATAACGGTGAGGTGGCATTTGTCCATCGGGTGACGTGCCAATGATATTTTGGTTTATCTAATAAATTAACCACAGAATTAACAACGGAATAAGCCCGTTGGAAAATTAGCAACAAAGTACATTCTGTCACAAAGTCAGAATAACTTATTCTTATTTAGTGATGGAAAATTTTCGTTGCTATTCTGTTGAAAATTAACTACGGACACTAATTAATGACGGAATTGCAAATTCCGTCGCTAATGAATTAGTGATGGTGTTTTTACCAATGAAAATATTCCGTCGCAAATCCGTTTAGTGACAAAATTTTTACTGATTAGCGACAGAATTTTTCATTGTTAAGCAACTGTTTTTTTTGTAGTAAAAGATACATCACAATCAACAGTGAAAATAGCATTTGCATACCATTGCCAACTCTTGCTTTTCTTCAACCAACACTTCTATACATTTTTCAAATTTTTTATGTTAAGAATTAGATTCTCCAAGTCGTTGCCTCTGAACGGACAAGAATAAGATGCTAGATTTCAACTTTTAAATAATAAAAGATGTTAGATCAAAGTGTTGAAGATGAAAATTGAGAAGAGATATGCAAAAAAACGTAGCTTGTAAGAGCACAAACCTATCAGTCAAGTTTTTCAGTTATGAAGCCAAACCTCCATTAATAAATATTTGATCTTCTTTCTCATTCAATGCGGACGTTCTTCTTCCAAAGGTATGTTCTTGTTTTTAATTCAAATGCAATGACTTCCAGCTTTCTGTACACTTCCGAAACCATGACAATATATTACATTAACAAAAATATATATATATATATATATATATATATATATAATTCATTTGTCCGTACTATAATTATATTTCATTATCATCATCCGTACAATTAGAGAAGGTGCATTCTTGAGTAGGTCAGTGATGTCGTCTAGTTGGGAAGCAGACGAGAGATGGTCTTATCACGTTAGAAAACTTTGAGGCATGGTACTATGATGCATTTGCATGATTTAATGGCTTTTTTATATGAAGTGACCTCACTCTCACTGGAGAATGACATGTTAACAAATAGTATTGCTCGGTTAGTATTTCGCTTTAAAAAAATAGTTTGGGACCTAGCAAAAATAGTTGAATTTTTATTAATTTACATTCGATGCTCATTGTGTGCTTATTAAGGTTGGAAGTAATTCTGACCTTCTATTTCAATTTAAATTAATTCCTATCATTTATTTAAATTATTTTTTAAAATATTTTTGATATTATACTTATTATTATAAAAATATAAAAAATTTTAAAATTTTAATAAATCTATTCATTACTAATTTGACCAATACATATTTAATCTAGCAGTCCAATTTAATATTAAAAAATTATATAATTTTATAGTTTGACTATTCAAATAAACTCTGAACAGTAAATATAATTTAGATAACTTAGTTTAATATTAAAAATTTATAAATTTTATAAATTAACCATTTATATGTACTATAAATAATTCAAATTTATTATTAAAATTTTCTATATCTTTTCTTTTATTAAATATAATATTAAAAATATTTAAAAATTAATTTCAATAGATAGTAGGGATCAATTTGGATTGAAATGGAGGGCTAGGATTGCTCTAGCCCTTATGAGCATTCGGTGATGAGCAATGATGAGCACCGAACGCAAACGCAGATTTCTATGACTAATATATATAATCACACCAAATTTACTATTGTCTGAGTCTAAAAATCAAAATGAATGTAGTTTTTTTTTTGAAATATTCTTAAAGTTTGGTATGGTATAATATTCATCTACAAAAGAAGAAAAATCGAGAATGTCTTTTAAAAAAATAGAAGAATGTCAATTGAGACCCTCAGAAGAAAGATTATTGCACGTTTGGGCCCAAAAAATTTGTAATTTTGACCTTACTTAACCAGAAAATAAACTCCTCTTCTATGATAGATAAAAGATAGCAATGATAATAAAGGATACTATAATAGCAAAGGCTTGACCATAAATAAAATAATCTAACGATATTAGAAAAAAAAATTAAGTTATAAAACCTATTATATGGATGACCAAAAAAAAAATCTACTATACACTGCGCGCTACTACCAAAAAATGCTACTAGAACTCCCACATTAGTAGAAACGCTCTAAAATATAAGGCGGAACTTATAGGATAGCTTCGCTGTCTTCCACTCCATCACTGTTATTATTACTTTCAATTTCTTCTTCCATCATTTTCATCTCTCATATCTGAGCTCTATTTCCTCATCATTCAACCATGACTAAAAAGGTACATACAATTCCTTTTGATCTCCTTCCTAAATCCTCATTTTGATGATCTCTTCCATTTAATCATACACGTGAATCATATCGATCATATCAATACTGATTTTGTTCCTTACTTCTGGTAATTATATGTTTAGGTGACAACAATGAAGCTCAAGGTTGATCTCCAGCATGTGAAATGCTGCAAGAAGGTCAAGAATGTTCTCTGTCAATTCCCTCGTAAGTTTCTCTCAATACTCACAGCTTTCTCCCTCCCCCTCCTTTTTCTTCATTCACTTTTGAAATTCGCAGGCGTTCTATTTTCAAAATCACAAAATTGAGTACATCTTGTCAATTTGTGTGGTTTTAGATTTTTGTGAACAACAAAAATTCAAGAACAGGCGTTCAATGAGAAGCAGGACATTGTGAACATTAAAGTAGTGTGCTGTAGCCCAAAGAAGATTGGGGATCAGCGTTTCCGTAAAGGTTGTAGCACCATCATGAGCATCGAAATTGTGGAGCCAGAGAAGCCAAGGCTCAAGTTCCAAAAACCTGTTGAGAAGGAAAAGCCTAAGTGCCAAGAGCCCACCAGCCCTTTGAAGCCTCCATCGAAGACGTGTAAAAAGCCTGAAATCCCTAAGACCAAATCCCCACCATGCGAGTTGGTACAACCACTAGGTCCGGATAGAACGTGCTGTGTTCCGTGCTTTGAAGGCCAGCATGGTGGGCCATGCTTTGAGGGTTATAGTCCGCCCAAGTTAGGACCGACACCTATTCCGGATAAAATGTGTTGTGTTCCATGCTATGAAGGCCGGTGTGGTGGGCCATACTTTAAGGGTTATAGACTGCCTAAGTTAGGACCAACACCCATTTTGAAAAATTTTGAGAAGGAATTGAGGAGGAAGAAGCCTGGTATTTGTTTAAATTTTGATGCATATAAAATGTTCGATAAAATACTTGATTAAAATAATTTCAGTGTATGTTTGAAACTAGAAATAGAGATTTTTGAAAAAAGTTTTTTCATTAATAGTTCAAGTACCAATTGCTATTCATATGCTAGACCCTTGAATATCAATAGAATATTTGATGCAATGTTTGGGGAGGGATTGAAATTAAAATTTGCACTATTTTGATGAGTGATTTCAGATTGAAGATCTTGGGTAATGAAAATCTATAAAAGAAAATAACAAATGGTGTTACCTAGGGTACTAGGATTTAGTGACCAAGCATTGTGGCAAGAGAATCAATTGGGAATAAGTTATTTATTTAGAAATCTACTAGGTAAGTCAGTAACATTCCAATTAATCAACCAATAAAATCTCTTTCATTAAAATATTACATTTTATGTAAATGATTTTTAATTATTATTATTAGTAATTCTGTTAAGTATTGGGCATTTTTTAATTAAATTATTTTATCCTATGAAAATATATATATATAGTTGTGGCAAGGAATAATTAAGATATGATACGTACATGTATTTTCCTTATGAATTATATTTTTAAGACTAATGAAATTATTTTGACTAACTTCGAAAATTTTGGTTACCAAATAAATGCAAGAATGGACATTATTTATGAAATTTTATTTTGACAAGTACTAAATTGAAGTTTGAAATTATTTATGCAAGTTCGATATTGAGAATACAAATTGTATTTTAGAAATGACAATTCTTCTTGCATGTTTTAAAAGTGATTTTTAGAGAACTTCAAGTAGAAAACTGTTGCTAACAGAAGTTTCGTTAGCCCTTAGCACGCTACGGTCAATGACTAACTAGTTTAATTTTTGTGAGCTCTATTCTCATATCTATTCTTCATGGGTCTTGTATTTGAGTTTGTTTCGTGGTTTCAATCAACTCTGATTGGTTATCCTCATGGACTATGTGTCCACGTCTGTTTTGTGGCTTCAGCTACGTTTGGTTAGTTACTCTCGTGGACTACGTATCCATGTTTGTCTTCATGGCATAAGTTGCGTTTAGTTATTTTATCCTTGTAGATTGTGTTTTCATGTTTGTTATTTATTCTATTAAATCCTCAAAATTCTAATGTTTTAATTAACTGGTGTATTTAAAATTTTAATGATTTCAGCTAGCAAGTGTACTACTTTGATTTACATTTGAATACTTTATTTTCTTCAAGTATGACAAAATAAAGCAATTTCAGTTCACTCTAACTTTATGGTTATGATTAAGATTTACAAGTTTATTAAATTTATTATATTGAATTATTGTCTTTTTAATTATTTTACATAATTGTTTGAGTTTATTATTTTAACTCTTTTAAATTCTATTTTTAGGAATGCTATTCACTGAAAAATATTTTGGTCTTAAATTCATTAATTGATGTTAAACCTCCTGCCGATCAGGGAAAGGTTTGCCACTAAGCTAGGTGAATATTTTATTTTAAGGATGCCTTTTCTTTTGATGTATATATTCAATTATGTGCTTTATTTTGATAATTTAGGTGCTCCAGATTAAATATAGATATGATTCTGATTTATAAATTTATATCCACTGTCTGTTGTCAAGGAGCAAAGCTCTATAGTATTAATTTTTCTGTAAATGGTTTTTGTAGAGATTTGGGAGGTCATATTTACGGAGAAAGTTTTACCGAAATCTCTACAAAAAGTTTAGGAATCTTTTATTTATGTGGAAAATGTTACTACGATTTCTAATCATATTTCAAATGAATTAAAATATTAACTTAAAATTTTCTTGGTCAATGCTTAAAGGATGTGTGTTTGTACATATATCCTGTGCTAGCTACACCTAATTTTTTGGGCATGATAGCCTTCAACAAGAGAGTCTCCTTTTTCTATTTTTCCTTTGTTGGAAGCATTTAAAAAAAATTTATAAGATTACAAATTAAGAACAAATTTAAAGGAAGAATCAACTTTCATGCCAAGAAATGAGCTTTATTTGTCTATGTGATTTTATTCAAAAGAGTTTTATAATTTAGGACGAAAGAATAGTTTTTTATTTTTTTGGGGGAGGAATTGCAATCAAGGAAATTTAAAAAAAATTCAGGGATAGTTTAGTCTTTTCGCTACCTAATTTAATTGCACTTAGATCCCTTTGTCCTATAGAGAAATTTCAAAATCAGTTGGTTCTTTTTCATAATAAAATCTGTCGGGAAATCTTTGATGCGATTTTCCCTTTTTTTTTTTAACTATATTGGTATTTTTGGTTGACAAATTAAAAAGTAAAAGAAAAAAATGTTGATTTGAATTTAAAGTAGGATTTATTATTAGTTAAAATGATTTATTATCAATAATTTTGAATTAACTAATCTTTTCCAAAAGATAGTCTTCTCCTTACTAAATTTGCTCCCAACTAAAGAGGCATTAACTCATCAACATTTGGATTGCCATTTCATAGAAAAATGATCATCGCTGTTATTTTAAATTAATTTTAAAGTATTTTTAATATTTTATTATTGAAACAACAGTTTATAAACATTATGAAAAAATTGATATTAAATTTATATATAACGAAAATAAATTAATATTATTTTTTGAAGTTTATATAATTTTTTAAATGAAATTAAGATTACAAATTATATTTAATTGATCTTATCAGTAGTCACAATTTTACAATAAAAAATTCTTATAAAATGGACGAGGGAGTTTTTTACAAGCAATGTCATAAAATGATAAAACTTGAAAGGACAAATAATTATTCATAATTGAATATTTTATTTATAGCTAAAATAATAACTTTCTGAAAGAAGGCCGGCGGGCAAATTAATTAGCTTGGATAGAACATAAAAGTCAATATTGCACGTCACATTTGCTATCATAAACTTCCCTTTTAATTTGTTGATTTTGTTACTGTAACTTTCAATTTCAAATTCCATCCGACCCAACTTGATTTTACTCGAAATTGATTGGCATTCCAAAGACAAATCATTGAAAAGAATAGGAGAAAATTTAAAATGATACACAAACTATGAGATAATGAAATGAGTGAGTTCTCTATTTTTATAAATCTCGTAAAATTTAATGAATAGATACCATTTGAGGCACAAAATGAAAGTAGAAAATAATTTAGAATGCTTATTTAAGGAGTCAATTATCTCCTTCCTTCTGCCATATTCCAAGCATAATTTGTCATAAATAAGTACTAGAGAGTATTATCTAAGATTGATATTTGAAATTTAATAAATGAGGATATAAAGAAAGAAGATGACTTTAACTCAGAATGGCAGAAAATTAAACTTCTAGGAAGCAAAGAAATTGGAGAATGGAAACAAAAGTGAAGCCAATCTGCCATTGGCATAAACAGCAAGAAATAAGCAGAGAAACTTGAGCACCTAACAGAAAAGTGAAATTACTTAGCTTGTTTATTTTCACGTCCTCCAACACATTGAGCTCATCACTTAGCTTAAGAAACTGGAGAATGGAAGTAGAGATCTGGATTCTGGAATAGGAGATCGATATGGCTCACAAATAGAGACATGGGAGAGAGTGAGACCTGGGAGGAAAAAAAAATGAAGCCCAAGCCCAAAGCCCAAGATCTTAAGATATAATCTTATCTTTTTTGTTTTTAATAAAAAAACCAATGTTTTTATCAAAAAAAAAAACAATGTTATTCATGAACCAACATTATTCACTAGGTTTTAAGTGCCTATAACACCAAACTTCCTTACCTAACCACACTGACCATTTTAAAATACTCTAACCATTTTATTAAACATTCCAACACACCAAATTCATCATTCAATTCCCCACATTGTCTTAAAATCTTCAAATTATACCTAGAGTTTGTCTAAACCCTCAACAAAAATTCTTAATCACTATAAAACCCATAAACTTAAGGTCAGAGGATTGTTTTAACTCTCCAATACCTTAAATAATCCAATGGGTTTGGTCTAAACTTAAGGGAACCGAAATCAAAGCTCTCATTGCCATAAAAGTTAGAAATCTTCGCATAAAGATAAAGGAGACGGAATGTGAAACTTACCTAAGGATGATTCAAGCTCCCAATGCTCCCAATATAGCCTAGGGATCATGCCTTAGCAGTACACGAGCTCCTATCTGTCGCTCTCTCATTTTCCTTCTTTCTTCCTTCTGTTTTTGATTTATTTTTTGCATCTGATAAGTGCAGATTTTACACGTGTGCCGCGGCGTATTGACATGCCTGCTGCGGCCCATGGTACAGAAAGTCCCATTGAAATTTAAGCTCCTTTCTATGCCATGGCTCGCTCAAACACCAACATAGCTTCATCTTAAGGCTATCCAACGATTTAGAATTGGCAAACATATACTATTACACAAAATAAACTAAGCTAAAGGCATACAAAAATGAATATGCTAATTCCTAGCCTCTTAAGCCTTCTCTCTCTCTCTCTACACGAGAGCTAGAGCCTGAAAAGTGTTAAATGAAAGGTGAGTCTGGCTACTTAGTAACTAAAGTTAAACCTACCCTATGTAGTTATATATCAATTATAAACCAAGTAAATGCATAAGGAACCAAGTATGTAAAATATGCTCACACATATCATAACTTGTTATTTATCATTTAATAACTTCTTTATTTTACATATACTAGGTGCATTGTCATCATATTTTTTGATATGTGACCATGACCCCTTATTCACGCAACTTCCCACAACTCAACATGTGTGACATGTCATATATTTATATAGGCAATAACCAACCAACCTTATAACCTCCTTATTTCCTCAGACTAAAACCATAGGGTATAAGACTAAATAAAGCTCCATCAATGTGACTAGACTACCTAAGCTCACCAATCCTAAGGTATGACTTGGCTAAAGATTAGATTACTCACTCTCAGACCACGGCTTCCCCTATTCTTGAATCTTTGGGGTGTCTCATACCCTAGGCTATTCTCCTCATTGAACTGGTGGAGATAGCTAGGTTCTAGTCCCTCGACAAATTATGGGATAGTCTCTCAACAAAGTGTGGGATAAGGTTATATTCTCATGCATCGGAGAGTAGCTTAAATACCATATAGATTTTTCTTTACTCCCAATCCCTAAGCAAACTTCCCCCACTAATCATGCTATAAACAATACTTACTCTTTTTACATTTTCCTTTGCTCATTATCAAAATCAACACATTGGGCTCACGACCAAGTGCTATCCAAGTGTACATCAATTTCTTATCTTTCACTTATATCACATACACCTATTTTTTCAATCACAATTGCTCATCTTTATCAAATCAATTAATTACTACTCATTTACAACACACCGTCACATTTATCTTTCTAAAGACATATGCATATTTATATTTTAAAAACATCTTGATTTAGCATTTGCATTTCAAACCACAATAATATTATGCACATTAAATTTTCATACACTCATTGAAACAAACATATGCTTTTCACATTGAAAATCAAACCATACATATAACATTCCTATTTAGAAGTCAATTTATAATTAATTAACATATAACTACCCAAAGTAGGATTTCCCCCGGTTACCTCAAACCTTTAAGAGGTCAAAGGTTTACCCCTTAATGTTTTAGCTTCCATATTTGAATTTTCAAGTCAAGATAGAAGTCCAAAAGCTAAAACTACAATCAACCAAGTTGAAATTTCATCAACATTAACAATTCAAGCATTAAACCCTCAATCTTCACTTTTAAATTGCCCAATATTCACTTATTTTAACCTATCCATTGGGTTTATTATCCCTCTTTAGTTCCCAACAACATTAATGAGCCATTAAACTCCCATTTATGGCATCACACTCTTCCAACCACCCATATAAATGCAATTTCAGATATTAACGAAGCTCATCTTCCAACCACCACCAAAATCATTAGTACTAGATTTAAATACTCTAAACAGCTCCCATTAACTTCATTTAAGTCAATGGGTTCGGACTCAAAACCTATATAGACCGAAGTCATCATCCTCCTTTAAATACTAACTCAAATCCTTGAGAAAAATGAAGAGAAAAGGAGAAAAATAGTTTAAGGATCTTACTTTGGATAATTTAAAGCTTCAAACTTTCTCAAATCCTCCCCTAAGTCGTGCCCTAGTAGAGAAAATGAGCACCTCCTTCATTTTCCTTTTCCTCACTTTTATTTTTCACATCAGATCACGCATTATTTTTACAGAATTTACATTATGCACCGTGACGCCTATCCCTACGTGTCGTAGCATGTGGTATAGAGAAGGAAATTCTTGCTTGATGGCCTCGTGCGCCATGACATGTGGCATAAAGGTTATTTAGCTTGTTTTTTTCCACTTTTTGGTTCCTAAGTGACCCAATTTCACTTTGGAACTAAGTTATACCTAAAATCCCAACTAAAAACACTTATTATTCTCCTCTAACTACACACTATATCAACTTACTTAATTGTCCTTATTAATTTTAGTAAATCAAGGAATCAAAAGCAGGGATGTTACATGTGGTCACTAAATACTTCAAACACAAACCTATAGAGATAGTATCACTAAATTTTCAAGGCAAAAACTATTGCTACTAGCTCCAAATCATGAGTCGAGTAATTCTCCTCATACAGTCGCAATTGTCTTGAGGCATAAGCAACAACTCGCTTATCTTGTATTAAAATGCACCTTAAACCTTTCAATGATGCATTCGTATAAACCACATACGGTAGTCCAGGATTAGGAATAACCAGTAATGGAGCAGACATCAATTTCCTCTTCAACTCTTGAAATGCCAACTCACACTTATAGATCCACACATATGGATGATCCTTTCGAGTCAACTTTGTCAATGGAGATGCAATCTATGAAAATCCTTGAATGAATCGTCGATAGTAGCCTACTAATCCTAAGAAACTTCTAATCTCTATTACTGAGGTAGGTGGTTCCCATTTCAAAACAGCATTCACCTTGTATGGATCCACAACAATCCCTTCTGCCAATACCATGTGACCAAAGAATCTCACTTCCCTTAGCCAAAACTCACATTTGCTGAGTTTAGCATACAACTTATTCTCCTTTAAAAGTTGTAAGATAGTACGAAGATGCTTTGCATACTCTTCTTCATCTTTTGAGTAAATTAGAATATCATCGATGAACAACACCACAAACTTATCAAGATAGGGACAAAATATTCTATTCATGTAGTTTATAAATACTGCTGGAGCATTCGTCAATCCAAATGGCATCACTAGAAACTCATAGTGACCATATCTAGTGCGAAAGGTAGTCTTTAGTACATCCTCAACCTTGACTCACAACTGATGATAGCCTAATTGCAGGATGATCTTAGAGAACACTGCAGCTTTAACCAGCTGATCTAGTAAGTCATTAATTCTAGGTAAAGGATACTTGTTCTAGACTGTCATCTTGTTCAATTGTCTACAGTCAATGCATAGTCTCATACTGCCATTCTTCTTCTTTATAAACAATACTAGTGATCCCTATGGAGACACACTTGGTCTCATGAAACTTTTTCTAGCAATTCCTCTAGTTGTTTCTTTAATTCTGCCAACTCAGATGGAGACATTTAATATGAAGCTTTCGATATAGGTTCTATTTCAAGCACTAGATCAATAAAGGGTTCCACCTCTCGCTCAGGTAGCAATCCTGACACTTCTTTTGAGAATAATTTAGGAAATTTGTTCACCACTCCGATTCTCTCGATTCCTCTATCATAAGTAGCATGAACGAAAAAGAATACCATATGTGCTTGACAACCCTATTGAATGCACATTTCTGCTTGTGCCACAGACAAGAATCTTAACTGATTGGGTTTCACTGTAGGTGCATTGTACACTGGCAAGGATATTATCTTTCTTGCACAATTGAGTGTCACATTGTTTACTAACAACCAGTCCATACAAACCACTATATCAATCCCAATCATGGGTAGAAAAATCAAATCAATAGTGGTTGATTTATTCTCAAATCTCAAATCAACATCTAGATAAGTGCGGTCAATTCTTACAGAAATTCCTACCGGCATAAACACATTAATTACATATGGCATGATATGTACAGACAATTTCAACCTCAATACATAGTCATCAGAAATGTAAGAATGGGTAGCACTCAAATCAAACAAAGCATCTATTTCACAGTTGTGCAAAGATATTTTACCTCTAATCAAATTTGGAGACGTACTTACCTCCTCCTGGGATAACGCGAATACTCTCCCAGGAACAGTCAATCTCTACTCTATAGTACCCAAACTACCCTCTTCACAATATTTGGCTATGTGCCCCGTCTTGCCACACTTGAAGTAGGCCCATCACTTTCCCATATAGTATCTCCCACACTTCGAGCAGGGGTTTTGGTCATGCTAAGAGTTGGCACAGGCACGTGGAAGCCTATTGAGATGGCTGTGCACCACTAGCACCGTTCTTAGGTCCACTACTCCTCTGGAAGGAACCTCAGGACTGTGATCCCCTTTGAAAAGTCTTCTTTTTCTTAAAGCTCCCATAACTACCGAAGCTAAAACTGAACCTCTTGCTAACTCCACCACTAAGGGTAAGCGATTGTGAGAATCTATCATGACTATCTCTTCTCTTTTCAGTCTCTGCCTTTCTACCCATTCTTGCAGCTATTCTCAATTTGTTGCACATCTCATCATAAGATGTGATTTTAAACAAGGCCAATTGTTGTTGGTACTCAGGCCTCATCTTCTCAAGAAGTCTCTCAGCCATCCATTTTGAGTCATCATTTTCTATGAGATAGGTAGAGTACTTTGACAACTAATTGAATTTAGCAATGAATGCTTCTTCATTAAGATTCCCTTACTTGAACTCATGGAACATAGCCTCTTTCTCTACTTTAAAGGCTACTGGGAAGTAGAAATTAAAAAACCTCACTTTAAACTCATCCCATGTCTACTCAACTCCACCAGTCGGTTTCACTGACTTCCACCAGTATTTAGCCTCTTTTACAAACAACACTAAGGCTAAAGTCGCCTTCTGTTGTTTTGAGCAAGGCACAACCTCAAAGATTGTTTCAATTCTCTCGATCCACTTTTCAACATTGCCTTCCTTCATAGTCCCATCAGAAGTAGGTGGATGAAGCTGTGAAAAACTCTCCCATGCTCGATTCATGGAGTTTTGTGAACCGACACCACCCATAGCTCTAGATTGTTTGGATGTGCTCTTCTCATGCGCTCCTTCATCTTCCTCATACATCTCTTCTTCATTTTCTATTGTTCTACTATCACCCCTTGCTTTATTATTCCTAGGTACACCTTGACCCCACATTGAATTGTGTATTTCTTGCATTAAATTCCTCATCTCCAATAGCAAGGCCTCATTGCCCTATGACTCATTCCTCGATTATTCTAAGTTTGATCAATTGAAATGTGATTTTCTGGAGATAGCTCATTGATCTCTAGTACCACATCCATATTAGATGGGTTATCACCCGTAGCAATTTTGGTAGTTCTTCTTCTTACCATCCTCTCTCCCCTCCCAAGGATAGAAGTAACCACACAAAAAGTGAATGTTAAATTAGACAGCTATACAAAGGGAAGGTAAGTGTAATGAATATCTATGACAACTTCTAGACATGAATGCAACAAGAAAAACAATCCAACACAACAATCACACATACCAGTCTCGAATTGCTTGAAACTGATACCAAATTGTAATGTCTGCCTTAACATTACTAGGACAACACTTATTCATGCTGTCGTGATAACTAGGATAAGATAAAATTTGAAGAAGAAGTTATCACAACTTAAGGGTTTAAAAGATAATTAGTTTAAAACAATGGAATCTAAAAAAATTCTTTTTAAGAATATTGTTTGAGCTCAAACCATGATTAAAATTCAATTGATTACAAATACAAAAGCAGGAAAATCTAATAGCCTTCAAAACAGGTTGAAACAAACCTTTTCTCAAAAATATGGTTCATTCATCGTGGCGTAAGCCACACCTACTATGGCAGATGGCATAGAGGGATGAATCCCTTAGGAAGGCACTTGTGCCGTGGTGCAACTACCATGTGCCACGGTGTGCACCTGTTGTTATGAAAACACTCCAAACTTTCAAAGTGCACCGTTTTGCCATTCGACATCTAATGTGGGCAATTTAAGTGTCCACACGAAGCTCTTTGAGCCCTCTAGCTAATAGCACTAATCTCACACTCAAATGATCATCTGTTAAAAATATGACACCCGAACCTAAAATGGTTTGTTTTTACCTTAAAACACACATAAATGTGTCCAACTCACAATGCCAAATGCCATTAGCCCCAGATATACTTTGACCACCTCAAATGGACCACACATAGCATGACAGATCATTCATATCACACAAATAAGAAATCACACTCAAAATGACCACCAAACCCCTATTTGACAATAATACAAAAAGGGGATAAAATTTAGCACATATGTCAATTGGTCATTTTGGCACATAAATCACTTCAAATATGTCAGTTGTAATTGTAACTTGGCCAAGCACACATACTTTATCCAAAACATTAACCTTGGACCAAGATGCACACACACTTATCACAATTTCATACAAGTCATAACCAAAATAATGTTATGTTTTAAGTTGACATAATAATATAGCATATTCATTACAAACCCACAAAAAAAAGGGAAGAGCTATACAACAATGCTCTTAACTCTTTAATTACTACTTCCTTCTCCTTGCCCTTATCGGAGCCCTCACCTGTGAAATATAACCACAGGTTGAGATAAACATCTCAGTAATAGAATAATTCACTACTATTAATTAACATACACAACCATTAGGGAGTAAAGCTATTAAACACTAAAATTTACTTTTGCATACTATAATATACTCTTTTTCATCAATACAAATCATTTACCATTAGCATGATCATTCTACTATCCAAGCCTTTGTATCATCTCGACGGAAACCATTAGCTCTTAAACCAACTGCACATCCATAATGGTCTGAGCTCACCTTTGATGGTAGGATCAACCGGTCAAAGGTGTCCTATCCTACTTCTGGACAATGATTTTCCCTTATCGCACACGAATTGGGGTGTCGTTACTCTAACATCGCATCACTGATGCTAAGGAGCGTGACTCTCCAATGCTGTATCCCGCATGGATAGTAAGGAGAAAATCTCCAACACCGTGCCTCACTAGATACTAAGGAGATACATGCCATATAGACTTCCACTACTCTTTCCTACGGGTGAACTCCTACCCCCTAATATATTATGCTCACACTCATCATATATAACACATGTACATTTCAAATTTCTCAACCAATCCATATAAATTTTCAATATTCTCATCATTTGCAAATAGTTTTTCATGCACAAAAGCATATTTCACAATATGAAAAGTTATCAAATCTCAAGTTTAAATTAATATATCTACTCATAGACAGTTAAGCAATATAATTAAATAGTGTAAATTATTTCATTACCTCAACCTTTTATCACACAAAACGGTTACTATGGCTCAACATTAGCTCCACACGTTCTATATGCATGAGGTAGCTCGAGCAACACTCAATCTACACAATCAAGTGATAATCATCAATTATCACTCTAGATAACATTGAATTCACTAGGTTCTAAGTGCCTATAATACCTAAATTCTGTACCTAACCACACTGACTATTTCAAAGTACTATAACCATTCTATTAAACATCCCAACATACCAAATTCATCACCTGATTTCCCACATTATCTCAAAATCTTCAAATTATACCTAAGATTCGTCCAAACCCTCAACAAAAATTTCAATCACCAAAAACCCATCAAAATTAAGGTTAGAGGATTGATTTAACTTCCCAAGACCTTAAATAATCCAATAGGTTCAGTTTAAACCTAAGAGAACTGAAATCAAAGCCCCATTGCCATAAAAGTTAGAAATCTTTGTATAAAAATGAAGGAGAGAGAGTGTGGAACTTGCCCAAGGATCAAGCTCCGAATGCTCCCAATGTGGCCTAGGATCATGCCTTAGCAGTACACGAGCTCCTCTCCATCACTCTCTTGTTTTCCTTCTTTCTTCTTTCTATTTTCGGTTTGTTTTTTGCATCTAATAAGTATTGATTTTACACATGCACGCGATGCATTAACATGCCTGCTGTGGTGCATGGTATAGAAAGTCCCACCAAAATTTAAACTTAATTCCATGCCATGGCCCACTTAAACACCGATATAGCCTCCTCCTAAGGAAATACTGATAATTCTTAATTTAAAAATTTAGGATGTTACATCTTCCACATGAAAGCACTCTAGAACGTAGTGCCTTCAGAAGTGCTCCAAGCTCTTCGTCCTTTAGGAGCGCTTCCACCTAGAGCACTCCCAAAGGCATTTCATTTAAAAAAATAATTTGAAATTTAATATTATAATACAATTTTTTATTAAATAATTATTATATTGGTGTTAAATGATAACAAATTAAATAATATTTAAAAAGTACTTTAAGTTATTAAATAATTAGACATTAAATTTATAATAAATTTAGAAATTTAAAATTAATTAATTGGCTAGAAAATTAAAATACTAAATAAAATTATAATATAATATTTCATAAATTATTCTCATTAATATCTAAAATAATTATAATACTTCAATTAATAACATAAAATATAAAGTAATTAACACTAAATTAAATTATTAAGAAATTATAGTAAAAAATTTTAAAGGGTCTCGGAGCACTTCATGTTCTCTGAAAGATCATATTCTTTTAGAGTGCTTTCAGGAAGAAGCGCTTTGAAAAGATATATAATTTTAAAATAATTTTATTTTTTTAGTCTTTTAGAATGTTTTTTATTGAAAGTGCTTGGGAAGAACTAACCTTTTAAAGCGCTTTTTTTAATAAGCGCTTTGCTATATTCTACCTCATTTTTTAGGAGCATTTTTAAAGTAAGTGCTTCTATATGGGTACTTCAATAAGTCTATTTTGCAATAGTGTCATTTTCCCAAAGGTATTTTTGCTTTGCGGAATTGGTCAATGAGATTCGAAAGAACCTGGTGCTTCTTATATGGATCAAAAGATTGTGCAAAAACATTTATATATATATATATATATATATTTTATAGCGGCAATGAATTTTGAAGTACTAAAAGGCTGGGGAAGGAAGGTAGAAGAACAAGAGTGTGTGTTTCTTTTTCTATCAAACAGGGATGTTTTAGTCAATTCAGGAAAAAAAACCGCATTCACCCCCAATCCTTTGAGACTTAATAGATATTTAGTGATGTCATAGTACCTTTGGGAATTTTGAATGCTTTTGTGGACTTCATAGTAATTTTCGCATGTTCTTTTAATAAATTGAGCAAATGAAAAGTTGCTCTAATGCACTAATAATTATTTTAAATTTGCAGTGGAATGCTCTTTTGACAATAATTTGGCATAGAAACGATCAAAAGAAGCTTTTAGCCTTTGACACTATTATTAGTTCCAAGGCGCATCATCTCCATTAAATGATCATGAACCAATACTTCTTCTTCTTCATTCCATCGCTGAACATTTCTCTATTGAGAGCTTTTGCAGTTTCTGTGCTCTAATTTTCTGGTATTTTTAATTCTTCCTTTAATCTAAGATTGTTTCTTTCTTATAATTATTTTCTTCTTCTTTTATTTCACCTCAACTCAATTTTTTTTTCTAAATCAAATTTTTTAAACAGAAACAGGAGATTTCCCTCTCATGGAAAGCATCCCCAAACCAGCTGCTCTGCACAGGTAATACCTTTGGCGTTTGGTTTTTCATTGTGTTTACATATATGTGTGTATCTTCTGCGTTATAACTTCTTACACTTCTGTTTTGTTTTCCTTGAATTCCTCCAGTATTTGAGAGTTAAGGGGAAATATTTAATTAAATCATGCATAGACTAAAATATTTGGTGTTTCTGATTGTATTACGATAAGCAATTTGTTTATCAAGTCGATTTTTGGATAACTATAAATGGTTTAAATAGATATTAATGGAAATAGTAATTTTTTAATAGATAATTATAAATTACATTCCTATTCTCTCTTTTAAAAAATATAAAATATTTTTAATTCAATTATACACCTCAGTAAATTAGTTAATTCTCTTTAAATGAACACCATTTTTTATGTTTTCCTTTATTTAATAGAATACCTTACCTTAACGTAAATTGTTAGAGTTTTTATTGAGAGAGATGCCTATATTTAGTGTCCAATCAATTTCACCAATGGTCAATTAAAAAAAAAAAAGATGAATGGTTGAATGTTTTTTGTTAAAGACATATATTTTTTTTAAATATTAATTACACATTAAATATTTTATATTTTTTAATATCTAATTATAAAAAAATAATTTATATTTTTAAACAGAGAGAGTGTCCATTTTCTTATAATTCTTATCTATCTCCTATAATATCTAAACCTTATGATAAAATTAAATGTTTAAATGTAAGTAATGATCGATAATATCTCATGTTAGATAAAATTAAAGGTTTCATATCAGATTTGGACTATTTAAATTTTAAATATTTTTTATTTTAGGAGTAAACTAAAATAAAAAATAAGATGTTCACAATCAATTCATAAAAACAATTATTTAGATAAAAATATAAAAATAATAAGATTTAAATGGCCTAAATCAAAATATTAACAAAGATCAGTTAACAAAATAGTCACTGTACGTTTTAGCTTTGATAATACCTAGCTCGAAGAATTGCAATTAGATACTGGATAACGGCCCACAAAAATTCAAAGAATGAAATAATCTATTAGCTTTATTAGCGAGGGATGGCCATGTCTACAGTAAATGAACAGTTCTCTATCTGTTGCCTATTTTTTTCTTTTTGTCAGAGCTCCATCTATTGTCTTCATTAGTTGCACGTTTCAGGTCGCATGTTCCAATTCTCCATCTATTATACTATTATAATTATAATATAATATTATGATATTGGTGATAGAGATTCAAATATTGTAGTGTTAATATTATTATAATATTTGATGGTTCCTATTGTTTGTTTTTTCCTCATCTCAACTAATATTTTATATTTTATTCTGAATCTAACTACTATAACACAAAAAAGGATGGACAAAGGGGGCTGATCTTGCATCGACTGGATAGATTAAATGGAAAGGTCGGTAGGTCAATTGGTAGGATTTCAACAATTTTTGAATTCTCGGTAATTTTCGTGTTGCCATTTCGCACCACCAGGTGAAATTTTAAATATATTGTTTGCCCAGTGTGGTCGTATGTGCAGAAAAATGAATAATCAATCATCAAATTCCTATATAAATTTGGAATCTTCCTATGAACAGTAAATGAATAGTGGCACCAATGTGAATTTTTTTTAATCATCAAGTACTCAGATACATTTATCAAGAACATTCCATAGCCTCGGTCCTTTAAGTATTTCCCCTATTTAACTTCTCGGCACCTCTCTAATTTCCATTAGCAAGTTCTCGTGATCATTTACTTCCCTTAGTCGATCTGAATTTTGTCCACTACTTTGCCACTTCTTCTCCTTTAATATCCTCCATTTCTCATGCATCCACGCTAGGTACGCCCTACCCGTCCCTCTATAGGTGTGGATGCGGAAGAGGATCCTTCAATTGCCCCTTTTTCGGTAGGAGTCATCCGTTTGTGACTATCAACGAGCACTTCCATTCACTCAACTTGATGGTAAAAGCTTCGTAAACCAAGGGTGACATTGGAATCCACCTTTTAATCCAAGACCTTCACCACCTTACCATCCGAACCCATGATGGCGGAGAAGCGTCCATAGTTACTTACCCTTCACTGTGAGACAAATCTATGTCCAACTTTTACTTCGTTGGTGGATGAGAATGGTTGGGTTCAGGTGTTTTGGAATGTGTGGTCGTTTGTCAACTGAAATGCTTCACCAGGTAGAGGACAAAATGATGTTCTATGTGATATTAAATCTCAAGGAAATTAAATAAAGACTTCTGCTTGGCATGTTATATGGATGAGTCCATGTTCAATATTATATAAGTTATGAATAGCTTTTCCATATCCTGATTTCCTCCATTATGGGGCCTGTTTAGCCATGATGTAACTCTTTTATCTCCAACTTTCTTGTCAGATTCTCAAATTTAGCTCCTAGCATGGCTTTGGCCAACAAGTCTGGTACTTGAAATTATTAGATGAGTGAAGAAGTTTAACAGTATTTTTTTAAGCTTTTTCTTGATTAAGTTTTTTATCAAGCTCCACACGTTTTGTTCTGTCAAGGTATACAAAGTTATTTAGTATATTGATGATTGGGGCCATGTTATTACATTGATAGTTTCGTGGGTGCTTCAATAGCAATGCTTAATTTACTAGGAAGACATTTTCCTAGTGTATCTTCAAGCACCTTAAGATTCTGATGATAGAAAAAATGCCCTTCTCTATAGGTCTCTATTTATAAACTGGTTAACAAGTCAGAAATTGACATATCACCTCATATGAGACAAGCCGATTAGTTTCCTTACATATCTTTTGTATCTCTTGGTGTCTATCTTCTTTGAAGCACATCTTATGCATAGGTTCAATTGGAGTCTCTGCTGGCTTTCAAGCCAGCATGTAGTCTCTTCTAGAAGATTCAAGGTATATTTTATATGTGATCAATTTTTTTTTTAAACTGGCAAGTTCCTTATATATGAAATTCTTTAGGTCAGTGAGAAACTTAATCCCAAACTAATTTTCAAGGGTTCATTTAAGCCGCATGATTTCTTCTAAAATCATGAGTCATTATGATATCATCGACATGGATAATTAATCAAAACAGCAATTTTACTTTTAGGGTATAACTTAGTAAATAGAGTATGGTTAGTTTTTTCTTGAATATAACCATAGCCTTTATTCTTTTGTAGTCTTTGTGAACTTTTTAAGCCTTGGTTATAACCAAACTTTGTTGCCATCCAGCTCTTATAGGTTGGATTATTCACTAATGGACAATATGCTTGGTAATTAGATGTTGAAAGTCACTAATAAAGGCTTATGATATTAAATATTTAATATTTAATATCTAGGTATTTATCCATTAAGTATTTTATCTATTAGATATTTTGTCTAATTTTTTATCATCTTATCTTCTAGAGTTATTAAATAGATTTAAACTAGCTTTATTAGAGCTAGAGAAGCAAGCTTAGTTCCTCAAAATCTCTATACATATGATGCTGAATAAAATAATATGGCTGAGAAAATTGCTTGAAAACTCAGTCATTTCAACAAAAGGCTAGTCTATTAGTTGCCAAATTTAGTTCTGTATTTTTTTCGTTATCCCATTGCATGGAAGTGCTTGGAAATATAAATATCAACATTGTTTGTTGATTTTATTCTTTTCCAGTTTTTGTTCCATTTGTTCTTTGGCTGTTATGGAGAAACTTATACTACCAAGACAAAAGAAACTTTGTTGACAGTCTCTTTACTTCAGGAAAATCTAATCCATGATGATAACGAACTTATTTTGTTGGCATCTCTTGGCGATTCATTGGAGTATGTTGAAGACTCTATTGCAAGGTGAGTTTTCCGTCCTCTACAATCCTTAGAACAATGTTTTATCTTGTTCAAGAAAGTTTATGTGAGTTAGTAGGAAAAACTATTACTGTATGCATATCTTATGCTATAACCATGAGAAATTGAGGAGTTTAATTTCAAGTTTGATCTTGAACGAAATATAAATATCATACAGGGGCCTTGTGGAAATGGATAAGCTTTTTGAGATCCAATCATTATTTTGAAAACAGAATGCTGTTTTTTGTCACTAGCCCATTGGATTGCGTTTGTTGGATAAATTGTTTCCTATAAGGGGAACTTTGTTCTGCAACTTCTGGTTATTGGCAGCTAATTAACTTGCCTTTTTATTATAGCATTTGGTTCATGGCTTTATTCTTTTTACTTTGTATTGATACCCTTTCATATGAATATGATAGTGATTTTCTATCGTTGTAGGGCTTTAGCAGTTTTATAGAATATGATAAGTTCATCATGTACACCTTGCTTGTGTAAATTCCTAATTCCAAATTGTAAAGCGATTTCAAGATAGTTTTCTTTTCCTTGTTTTTCTTTACTTCTAGGCCGTGAAGAACAAATGATCCACTTGGATTGACCTACAAGTGTGAGAATTTGTCAAGGAATAGCAATGGGATTGGCTTATCTTCATGAAGAATCATGACAGAAAATAGTATATAGGGATATTTAGGTAACTAATGTCTCGCTAGATAAGGATGTGAATGCCAAGATCTCTGACTTTAGTTTAGCAAATTAAGCTCAATTAAGATGATAATACCCATATTAGCACCCGAATAGCTAGAACAATGTATTATGCCATATTAAATTCTATATTTGATTGCTCATTAACAGAATTTATCTTCACCATGCACTTCCTCTATGATGTATGATCTGCTATTGCATGAAGCCATTCTCATTCAAATAATCCTAGAAACATCAATATTTCATTTGTTTAGTAAAATCACTAATTTGTGGGTGTTGCATATTCTCTTTTCAATAGTTACATGGCTTCTAAATATGTAATGAGGAGTTAAATGATGAACAAAGCATATATTTATAGTTTTGGAATTGTTACTTTAGAAATTGTTTGCAGAGAGAACAACACAAATTATAGACAAAGTGTTTTAATTTATAATAAATATAAAATAATTTATTGATTATGTGTATGTTTTAAAAAAATACATCAATCACGTGTTGAGACATTTCTAACCCTTAAAAAATGTATCACACTTTTGAATGGCTATTACAAAGAAAAATTAATGAATGCCTTGAATTTATAATATTTTTTAAAGGTTTTTTTTAAATAAAAGTGCTTTATTTACTAGGCATGAAATATTTTTGCAGCCATGGCAAGATGGAAGCAAGTTACTCCCTCCATTCAAAAATATAAGACATTTTTTAAGGAGTTGGATGTTCAAAAATATAAGGTATTTTTAGTTTTTTGATGTATAATTATTGACTTTTTTTCAAAAATGTCCCTATTGATAATAACTGTATATTTATTGTAGGGTATTTAATAGAGATAAATATGAAAAGATAGAGTTAGTTGAAAAATAAGTAACTACTACTTTATTAAAAGATGAGATTCGGTTAAAAATACCTTATATTTTTGAACGGAGAGAGTATATTTTTTTGAACAGTAAATTACAAATATCATATAGCTTTCTTATTTGTTTTGATACTCTTCTAGCACTTCACTAAATTATTATGATACAAGAAATTGAATAATTTATTTAATATTTTACTAATTAAATAAGACATTAACAATTATAAGTTCCTCCTTAAATTAGTTTGGTTAATTGCAAATAAGTTTACAGAAAAAAAAGCCTAAATGATATTAATCCATGATAAAAGTAATAAGGTATCCTAAAAAATGATCAATGTTGTATTATAAGATATATTTGAGAACACTGAAAATAAATTATAATTTTTTTTGTTATAGTATACACTGGTTACTTGCTTAACTTTCTTGCTTATAAATTATATTTGTCTGTCATAATTAATTATGATTAATTGATTATATTATTTACATTTTTCATTTGTACGTCCAATTAATTGCAGATAATGTGGTCCAGCTAAAGACCACATGCTTAATTCCGGGGAAAAAAAAAAACTAAATAACACAAACGTTGTTGACTCAAAATTATTGGCATATAATAATAAAGATATTTTACAATAAAACTTATCCTACGAGAAGATAACTTTAAAAACATATATATGAATTTAATTAAATAATATTTTATCTGTACATTGCGCGGGGTGAACACTAGTTATTCTTGTTGTTGGAAATCCGGTGTGTAAAGGAACAAACATAATGTTGTTTTATTTTTTGGACCACCTTTATTTTGTTTTACTTGAACCCACTAATTTAGAATAATAGAGATGGCCAATATAATATTTGAGAGTTGCCCCTGCGGCCACATCCGATGAAACTTGGAAACATAACAATTGAGAGTTTTAATAATTGAGATCAGGAGAGTTATAATATATTTTTTTCATTCCAAATTATAAAATATTTTTAAAAAAATTTGATATTTCAAAATATAAGATATTTTGATCAAAATAGGGCTTCATTAATGATTCTTTTCTAATATTTTCCTTCCCATTTTATTCTTTCTTTTTAATATTATTTTATAAAGGGAGTATTAAATAAAGGCTATTTTTAGAAGTTTATATATTTATTTTTAAAAAATAAAGTTTTAAATTATATTTAATAAGCTTTATTAGTACTTGTAATTTTACCTAAAAGTTTCTTCTAATTTGAAATGGAGGAAGTATATTTTTTTTTCCCTTAAATATCAGAGTTAGTTGGGAGTTTATTTTGGTCCTAAAACTTTAATCTCCTTTAAGTTGTCTCTTATGTTTATAATTTTTTTCCAAATACCTTATAATTGGATTCTTAGATGATGTATAAACATTGTTGATAATATTTTAATGTAAATGATTAAAAGCAGGGCTATTTTAGGAAAAAAAATTCAATGCATAATTTTCTATAGACAACTAGCTAATATAATTTTATTAATATGTGTGAACTAGTTAACTAACTCCTATATTTAGATGGGAGGGAGTAATATACTAAAATAATTCTCCTAATTTTATTTTCTATCTGAGTAATTTGGCATCCTGTTGATGGCTATGATTATGATGGTGGTGCGTTATTTCATTTCACTTTCCAACCAAAAAAAAAAATTGATCCCTTGCATTCTTTGGTATGATATATTATTTTTTGTTTCTATTATATTTTTGATTACTAATCATTAATTAGTACTTTGATTAATTCAATATGAATAATTTCATGTTTAGTACCTTTGATATAGGAGATCAAACTTTGTCAGAAAAAACACACATTTGATTCTTTTGATATGTTTGAATTACCTTTTAATTAAAGTTGGAATAACCCAAACCTCAGTTGAAGTTATTAAAAGCTTGTTATAAGATAAAGTTTGAATACAAAAAAGTTGAAAAGAGCTTTTGGGAGAAATACAATGTTTCTATTATAGATGGTATTTAATATTTCTTTTTAAGTTTTTTGTGGATGGTATTTGATAGTTTTTTCAATGCTCATTCATGTGAATGTAGATGGTATTTAATATTTTTTTTTAAGTTTTTTGTCAAATTTCTCTCTCCAATGGGTACAATGACCGTGAATAAATTATTTGCAGCCCCTGAATGCCCACAGAACTTAAAAATGTGACACTGGGATATAAAAATTAAATAATAAGTTATTCTATTTAAGACCCAGGGGACAAGCCCACCTATTATTGAATTCCAAAAAAAAAAAAATTCCCTCGCTAGTATTTCTAAATATCACTCGGATATCAATAATATTTTTATTGGATGTTTTAATATATTTAATTATTTTTGTTTTTCATAGTTAAATATTTTAAATTTTATCATTTAATTCTACCATTTTAAAATTAAGAAATTTTATTTATCAATATATTTTATATTTTTAATATACTTTTTTACAAAATTATAATTTTAAGTTTAATATTTTTCTTTAAAATATTAAATAAGTTACAAAAATTTATACAAGAAAATTAATGTCCATTTTTGTCATTATATATCTCTACTGACTTTTGAATTAAATTATTTAAATAAATTTTAATTTGTCTAATTCACTTAAAAAAATATTTAAATATAAATTATAGTCGTAGACTTTTCTCTTAATTTCAATTTATTAACTTTAATTTAATTCTAATTTTAGTTGCAGATTTTTTAATCCAAACACGCTTCCTAACTTTGTTGCTTCTCACTGAATTATTGTTCTGCTTCTCCTGATCAAGCTAAGCATAGTATTCCAGGTAAGACTCTCTCCATCTCTCTCTCTCTCTCCTCTCTCTCTCTCTCTCTCTCTCTCCCTCTCTCCCCCCTCCCTCCCTCTCTCTCTCAGGCGCGCGCTTGCTTCTCTATTACTGATTCTCCTTAGGCTCATAAATCTTATATATGTCAGATCTCCATTTTCTTTCTTTCCAAACACTCCTCGTTGATCCGTCCTGTGGCTTCAAGTAATCTTCCCCCTTCTTTCTTTGCCACCTAAAAAATTCATTAAAAGCTGCTTTTAAATTTTAGCTTTTTTCTCCTTCCTAAATTAATGTTAAGTTGTACAAGTTACTTCAAAAATGATTTCACCAGAATTAAGAAAGATAAATCTGTCCTAAATTTTAAAAATAATAGTCTAATATTGCCACTATTAATGAGAGAGAAACATCATATTTGATAGGACCACTGTAAACCTTAAATTAAAATTAAATTCTCCTTTTAATTATTTGTTATTAGAGGTATAATTGAAAATATTAACTAATAATTTATTATGTAACTTATATTAACGACTAACGACTAATTTTAAAGACATCTTATAATAGGGATGGAATTATGTTGGGGTTCGGATTGAGTGCTCGTGTTACAAAAGATTTAAGTTGCTTAAATCTTATTTAGCAGTCAAATCCATGAAGAATATGCTGCAAACTTTATTTTAAGATTTATTTTGTAAAAAATCAATTAATTAAAAAGAAAAGGGTTAAAAAGAATATGCTGCCATAATTTTTTAATTTTGAACAATTGCGATGGTCATTAAATTTAACATAATAATATAAAATAACACTACTTACACCGGTAACAGAAAATTCAATTTCACAATTAGTAGAGATGTTCAATTATTTGAAACTTTCTTTATTGATTTTTTTTTTTCGTTTTTGACCTTTGGGTCACTAACGGCTTTTAGCTTTTTTGGCCACGGTCTTTATTTTTCCTTGCCATCATGAGCTGCTTCTTTTGGTTTTGGAGTTTCCCTCAATTATTGTTGTCTTTTAGGCTTGGAACAATATTCACTCTATTTCTAAACATTATTGTTCTTTTGAAAATAAAATTATTTAACTAATTATTTTATAATTATTTTTGTTAGTGGCAAAAACAATTAACATGCGAGATCCATATCCCTCCCTGCAACTTTTGTTCAAAATCGTTTTTAAGATGGCATAGTTTGAGGAGGCAGAAGAAAGATTTGGCTGCAATTATTAATGCATAAATTAATTCAAAAATATTTTCTTAGTAGATAATTTATTATTTTAAAATGCTATAAAAAACAATAGCAAGTGAGTGTGACATTGATAGTAGTAGTCTATACCCCTTAAGCATGATTTTAGGGTCTAACTCCTAGCAGTGTGTATGAAAAAACATTTCTTTGGAAGAGAACAATGTGCCCCTTAAATGACACTCCAATTTTTCATAGGATTAGTCTCATGATTTTCGGCTGTAGAGATAACTTGGATAACTAAAAAAAAAAGTTCTATGAAAAGAAGAACACAATAGAATTGAAAATCAACAAAATTTTAGATGGGAGAGAAATAGTGAAAAGAGAAGAAAATGGAAATATAATCTATACTTTATTAATTAGATTCCACAAAATAAAAATGAAAATTGAAAAAAATCGAAATTAGTAATATTTCTCTATTTCTGAGTCTCATAT